TTTTTCCCCAAACCTCCCCATTTCTTCCCAATTTTCCCAAAACCTTTGGAATTTCCCCCAAAATTCCCATTTTTTTCCCCTATTTCCAGGCCATCTGGCTGCTGTGCACGGGCGCTCGCGAGGCCGCCTTCAGGAACATCAAAACCATCGCCGAGTGCTTGGCTGACGAGCTCATCAACGCTGCCAAGGTCTCCAAAAATCCCAAAAAAAATTCCTAAAAATCCCTAAAAATTCCTAAAAATCCTTTCCCACCTTTTTTCCCCTTTTTTTCCCACTTTTTCCCCCTTTTTTTTCCCATTTTTCCCCACTTTTTCCCCATGTTTTTCCCATTTTCCCCACTTTTTTTTGCCATTTTTTCTCATTTTTTTCTAATTTTTTCCCCAATTTTTTCCTGGTTTTTTCCCCCATTTCCTCCAATTTTTCCCCATTTTTTCCCCATTTTTTTCCCTATTTTTCCCCATTTTCCCCCATTTTTTTCCCAGTTTTTTCATCTTTTTTCCCTTTTTTTCCCCAAATTTTCCCCAGTTTTTCCCCAGATTTTCCCCATTTTTTTCCACAATTTTCCCCCAATTTTTTCCCATTTTCTTCCAATTTTTCCCCATTTTTTTTCCCCATTTTTTTCCCATCAAAACCATCGCCGAGTGCTTGGCTGACGAGCTCATCAACGCTGCCAAGGTCTCCAAAAATTCCCAAAAAAATCCCTAAAAATCCCTAAAAATCCTTTCCCACCTTTTTTCCCATTTTTCCCATTTTTTTGCATTTTTTCCTGCTTTTTTTTCCCCAATTTTTCCCGTTTTTTTTCTGATTTTTTCCACTTTTTTTCCCAATTTTTTCCCAATTTTTTCACAATTTTCTTCCATTTTTTCCCCAATTTTCCCCCAATTTTTTCTGAATTTTCCCCCATGTTTTCCCCATTTTCTTCCATTTTTTCCCCCATTTTTTCCCTTTTTTTCCATTTTTTCTCCAATTTTTTCTAATTTTTTCCCTGATTTTTTCCTGGTTTTTTCCCCCATTTCCTCCAATTTTTCCCCATTTTTCCCCCTGTTTTTTCATCTTTTTTTCCCATTTTTTCCCCAATTTTTCCCCAGGTTTTCCCCATTTTTTTCCATTTTTTCCACAATTTTCCCCCAATTTTTCCCCATTTTCTTCCAATTTTTCC